TTTTTAAATTACTTTCTCAATAAAACTTTTTTTAAAATAAAATTGGAAAAGGCCCTTAAACTTGATGACGGGAGTAGCGGAGCGGCAGTCCGCGCCAGTTTGTCCCTTACTTTCCAAATGAAATAATTTTGAATTTTACTGATCAAGGACAAAAGAGTAAAAGCCTATCCATAAACATTGTTCTGCAATTTTTTCAAAGGCTATATATGTACCCTCTGCGTCTCGCAAGTCGCAACCCTAGTCAAGTAGTCATCGCATTATCTTGTTAGAGTTTCTCACTCCAAAACTTCAATTTCCATTTTCTCTCGAGCACAGCCTACGTTCTTCGTTTCGCAACCGTCGCCCGTACGTTATCGGAACTCTGGAGAAGAAGAAAACGAGCATAAAAAGGTAAAAAATCCGATCGTCTTCTGTCGCATATCACGCGATCTGCAATCAGGTCGGCTGATTTTCTTCAAATTTGTTATCTGAAATTCTGCGAATTAACTGCTTCGTGTCACTGATGATATCTATATCTCTTTCTGTTTATAGAGCATATCGAGAGAGATTGGATCGAAGTTAAGGTTGAATGGCAGATGTGGCGGAGAATACTCTCTCCTGTGCTCGATGCGGCAAACCGGCGCATCTCCAGTATGTAACTGATCGCTTATCTCTTTGCACAAATATTCAGTGAAGGAATCTGTAATAGCTATGCATTTAGATATTGTTATTTGTCTTATTTACTCACACGGTGAAAGTTCAGATCAAGGATTTTTTTTTTTTTTCAATTTTGACTTGTTTGGAGCATTAAAATTTTGAGTGAAGAGAATTGTATGCTCGAAGTTTTACCTTGAGAAAACTGTATGCTAGGATTCAGGTATGGATTTCTTGGCCAGAATCAATTTGCATGATGTTAAAAGATTTTAGGAGGTTTAACTAAGAGATGAGTGGATTGCCTTAGATTAGCTAGGAAGAATCAGAAAGAAGTTCTATATGGTACGCAGAGTAGGTTGTCAGGGTCTGCTATGTGCTTGTTTAGTTTCTTTGATGGTTCAGTGCTTCAAATATCCAAATAGGAGAAGCATTACTGGTTTTAGTATTCTATCAACTGTCATGGCAGCCCAGTCTTGCCAGATTATTTGGAGTTCTTGCTTGTTAAGACCAATAATATTGCATATTAATGTCTAAATCTGATCAAACTTGTTTTCAGGTGTCCAAAGTGCATTGAACTAAAGCTTCCTCGTGAAGGTGCTGCTTTCTGGTTTGTAACCATCGTGTGCTCTTTAGAAATTGCATTTTCACAGCCTTTTTTTACATTCTGCAGAAGATGGAAATAAAGATAATGTGATAAGTGATTGATTAATTGATTTAATCTCTATATTACACTTGCAAATCATCTATTGATGCTTTGTGGAATGCAAACTGAAAAGGCTAGATGGTTCCTAACTTTGTATGAATGACCTTTCAAATTGGTTGGAAATTTTTTTGTTTAGCTTATTTTATGTTTATATGGCTCATAGATTAGCCATTTGATTACAAGTTTTAATTCTATGTACTTCTTTGGAAAAAGAATTGAAGTTGTATATCTTGACAGCTCCCAAGACTGTTTCAAGGATTCTTGGAGCTCTCACAAATCAGTTCATTTGAAGGCTAAGCTGTCCTCAACTGGGACAGGTGCTCCCAGTGATAAAAATTTAGAGAAAGATGCAGTTAGTGAAGGTTGGCAATATTGCATGAGGAGAGGACAGTCTCGAACTGCTAAACTTCCCCATTTTGATTGGACGGGGTATTTCTCAACTACCTTTTTCCTATTTAACTGGGAAAATTAATTAAAAGCTAACTAATCATCTACTTTGGTCTCTCTCTCTCTCTCTCTCTTCCATTAAGTATTTCGTGAATATTCAATGAATAGTTAATTGTCAGACAGATGTGGTTCTTACTTTTTATGTTCTTCATATTCAGGACACTAAGGCCATTTCCTATATCCAGAAATCGTATTGTACCTGCTCACATTGATAAACCTGACTGGGCAGTTGATGTGAGTTAATGAATAATACATTCAGAAATTTGAGTGGAGAACCTTTTCCGTATATGTGGGCTTATCTTATGGGTGTTTTTCTCTTTGATTTTGACTGTATCTTGCCACGTGTAGGGGATCCCAAAAATTGAGCCCAACAGTGAGTTGCAGCATGTTGTTGAGGTTGGTTTATACCTGAAAAGTTTTTAAAGCAGCAATCTCTCAAACTGTTTTGCCAGCAGACTAGGAAATCTGCTCCTTTTGTTCTTTATTTTTCACCTCCTTTAATGTTGATATGTTTGTTTTGAAGATCAAGACTCCAGATCAGATTGAGAGATTGCGAGAAACATGCCGGGTAAGTCCCTTCCCCCTGCTTTGATTGTGCTCTTTAAGGCACTTGTATTGATTCTTAATGTTTAAAATAATTTGTATTTTATTCACACATTTTATTTTTCAAATACTATTGTCAGATTGCTAGGGAGGTTTTAGATGTAGCAGCTAGGATGATTCATCCTGGTGTCACAACTGATGAAATTGATAGAGTGGTTCATGAGGCTACTATTGCTGCTGGTATGTGCTCAACATGAGTATGTTAGTCTGCTCATTTGCCTATGGTTGTTTGCATTTAACATAACTTGGATTTTATGGCTGCCAGGTGGATATCCTTCTCCACTCAACTATAATTTTTTCCCCAAGTCTTGCTGCACGTAGGTACATCCTACTTATGTTCTTTGTTAATATGCCAGGATTCAATATGTTGATTAAGTGTCTGTTTGTTTCAGGTCAGTTAATGAAGTGATCTGCCATGGAATTCCTGATGCCAGGTATCTCGTAAATTCAGCTTGTGACTTATGTCTGACATCTTAGCAACTGTTTTAAATCCTCTGCCAAATGTCTCTCTCGCTATCAGAGTTGGCATTATGTTTACTGCATGTGAACTTGGTGGCAGTAAATGTATGCTTTATTGGACTTTGTAGAATTGTCTTGGGTCTTTAGGGTGAAACTGATATGCTAATATTCTCTACTTGTAAAATCTGCACCCTGGAAGGGTTAGGCTTCATTAATTCTTCTTCTATAATAAATTAATTTGTTCCTTATTGCCATTTTTAGCTTTAGTGCAACTTCTGCTGATATTTTCAATTGCTTCAGGAAATTAGAGGATGGTGACATTGTCAATGTTGATGTGACTGTATACTATAAAGGTGTCCATGGTAAGAAGTCCAATACCTTTCTGTAAATTGCTTAAGGTGTTGCTAAGGATACTGGTCAATACTTTGACTGAGGTTAACTCATTGTGCAGGTGATCTTAATGAAACATATTTTGTGGGAAATGTTGATGAAGAATCTCGACAGTTGGTGCAGTGTACATATGAGTGCTTGGAGAAAGCAATATCTATTGGTATGTTTTGGTTCATTTTCTAATAAAATAGTCTAGAATGCTTTCATCATCAGTTTAGTAGGTAAAATTGCAAATAAACTGTTCGTAAGTTGTTAGTATGAGAATCATCATTTTTATAGTTAAGACACTTTTTTTTTTAATCCAATATTTGTCTTAATCAGTGAAACCTGGAGTGCGGTTTCGCGAGATAGGAGAAGTCATTAATCGTCATGCTACAATGTCTGGCCTCTCTGTGGTAATATGTTATTTTTGGATTAAGCTGCATGTAGCATTATAATATCATGTTGATGATGCTTATGATTTGTTTACTCTGTTCTCTTATGTATGTTAAAATAGGTTAAATCGTATTGTGGTCATGGTATTGGAGAGCTCTTCCATTGTGCCCCAAACATTCCACATTATGCCAGTATCCTTGCCAAAGCAGGCTTTTAAATCAATTGCTTTTTGTTTGTATGTAGAGCTTGTTGAGATAAAAATCAAACTAATGTTGAAACCCTGTAGTCTGGAAAAAATAAAATAAACTTGGAATCTTTGCCATTGATCTTTATGTGCATGTAAGCATTGCTTACCTTAACCCAGGCAGGGAATAAAGCTGTTGGTGTGATGAAGGCTGGACAGACTTTTACCATTGAGCCAATGATTAATGCCGGTATCTTCCCTTTAAATTACTTGATCTCCTAGTAGGAAATGTGATTGATCCTTGCTAGGTCTTAATGGATTTTCCCTGTATAGGGGTTTGGCGTGATCGAATGTGGCCTGATGGATGGACCGCTGTGACTGCAGATGGCAAGCGAAGTGCTCAGTTTGAGCACACTCTTCTGGTAAGTGTAATCCCCCCCACCCCTTTCCAAAAAAAGAAAAAAAAAGAAAGGGGGGAACCTTTTTAACATGTTAGAAGCTCTAATTGAAAATCAGCCCTCATGCTTTGGGAATAAAGAATTGTTTCACTTCCACTGCTCAAAAGACCACAAAGAAAGAAAGTTGATGGTGTATTTTCGTGTCCACCATGGAACACTGGTCTTTTAATCTATACTTTGACATCAAGAAGTCTAACTGATACAATCTTATTAATACAGGTGACAGAAACTGGAGTTGAGGTTCTTACAGCACGACTGCCTTCATCTCCCAATGTGTTTCCTTGGCTAAATCAACAGTAGCTGTCTCAATTCCTGCAGGTTAGAAAGCTAAGACATAAAAAATATTTCAAACGGGGAAAGGGCGTACCATCCATTCTGTTGAATGATGTCTTGTAATTTGTTAGAAAATAATGCTTCAATTTTCAATTTGGTTTAGTAGCAAGCTTGTGTAGGGTTTTCCGTCTCCGTTACACTTTTTTGAACATCAGATACAGATAGAAACATAGTTGAGTCTACATCCCCAGGGAAGTTTTCTGTTTTCCCTTCAAAATGAGGGCGGCCTTTCCTCCGCTCCTTAATACCGCAGTCTTGCCTTCTATGTGATTATTGTGGTGAAGCAATACTCTAAAGTTTGTATCTTTTTCAGGTGGGCCCGATTCATGCAGCCCAAACCTTTAAAACTTTATACTCCTCATGGAGGCTTAAGAAGTGTTCAAGGTAGTTGATTTAAGTTTTGGTAATTAATTCTTTTTTTTTT